TATGGACTGCGACAGCCCCCTGCCAACGGGCGACGCGGCCGAGACGACGGCCCTGCCAATGGGCGACGCGGCCGGGACGATGGCCCCACCGGGCGACTCGGGCCGCATGATGGGCGAATCGGCCACGACGCGGGGAGGCGGCGACCTGGAGCGGCGGTTCTCCCTGGTAATCCTGCGCCCCCCCCTGGGTGAGGGGGTCCGGAAGACGGCCGCGCGCCTGCGACCTGCTGCCGCTGACGACCCACTGCTGCTGACGACCTGCTGCCGCTGCAACCTGGCGGCCTCCATCGACTGGAGCTGGCGCTCCGCGGCCCTGCACTCTGGGCATGGAAAATTGGCGAAGTCCAGGCCGTGCACTTGCATGTGCGCGTTGACGCGCTCTTTGTGGTAAGGCCCGCGCAGGCTACCCAGACGGACGAGCTCCTCGCCATCTTCGAGTTCCTGCTTGCAGATGGCGCAAGAAGCGGCCATGCCGATCTGCAGCTATCGCCGCGGATCCGCAACAGTGTGGGTGGCCGCAGATCTGCAGCTATCGCCGCGGATCCGCAATAGGACACGCGACGCCAGCAGCTTTCGCCGCAGCTCGCGCTACAGCGATAACATGGCACGGCTAAGACCGAGGGGGGAAGGAGAAGGAGGACGGGGGAGGAGGAGAGGGGAAATGCGACCCCCCCAAAGCCCAGAGAAGGAGAGGAAGGGGGAGCTGGAGGCACCCCCGCCAAAGCGCTGTAGAAACCGAAAACGTCCTAGCCCGAAATGCCCCGCCAGATTTTGCTTCCCACAAGCTCCGCCCTCCCCCCGCCGCTCCCCCCTCCACCCCTCCTTCCCAACTCCAATCCCCCTCCCCCATCCCTATTCCCTCCACCCCTCCATCCCCTCTTTTCTCAAATGCCCCTTCCCGAATCGAATCCAACCCTCCCTCCCTCCATCTCTCCTTCCCGCCCTCCCCCCTTTCCAGTTTTTCTTTCTGGATGGGCCTGGGCACTGGGCCTGGGAGAGGAGGAGACAGGAAATTCGAAATTCCCCAATCCGAAAGAGGGAGGGGAGGGGAGAGATGAGACGTGGACCCGGGGTGGGGGACCCACGCAGCCTGGCTATCACACCAAATGCCCGCCGCCATGCCCTGGTTTTCGCACCGCACATGCGGGCGACGAAATGCCCAGCCAGATTTGGCCTCCGCGCCTCTGGGCACGGAGCGGGCGCGCCCTCAGGTCCTTCGCCCAATCCCCTGGGCCTCAGGAGGAGGGGGAGGAGGGAAGGGGGGAAGGAAGAAGAGGATAGGGGGAAGATGAAGGGGACGGGGGATGAACATGGGGGAACAGGAGGAGGAGGAGGGCGGGGAGGAGGAGGAGGAGGAGGAGAAAGCAGACGGAGCCAATCGCCACCAGTCCAATGCCAGACGGTCGGGGGCAGCTCTCACCACGCGCTCCACGGCGCGGGCAGCTCGCGCCGCTGAGCGAGAATCAAAGGCAGCTCTCGCCGCCCAGGACCCCCCCGTCGCCGCGCTTGCAGCTCTCGCCGCTCAACAGCGCCCGCGCGCGCCAGCGAGACGGCGCAGCTCTCGCCGCGCAAACCGCCTCTTAAAAATGCCCCGGCCGCTCGCACGAGCGACGGGCGGGGGCAGTTCCCGCCGCCGGACCGCTCGCGCCGCTGAGCGAGGATCAAAGGCAGCTCTCGCCGCCCAGGACGCCCCCGTCGCCGCGCTGGCGGCCCCCGCCGCCGGACCGCGCCCGAACCCGCGGGCGCGGCTGCGCGCAGCCCCCGCCAAGCGGCAGGGGTCGGAGCCGAGTCGCCGCTTAGTCGCCGAATACAATAAAGCTTATCCAAGGCCACTTGTCGCCGTCCACGCGCGGCGGCGCCCAGATGCCGAACTCTTCCGACGGCGAGAAAACTATGTCGAGGCCGCCGAGGATTCGGAACGACCTGTGCCCGAGCACAAAGCGCACCTGGGAACTCACAGGCGTTCTGTCAGACTGGTACAGCGCAGCCACTGCGAACTTGAACACGAATCGCAATTTGCGCAAGCAGCAATGTTCGCACGACGCGCACCCGCGGCTAGAGCAGGTCGCACGCTGCGTCGTACATGCGGAGTGCGCCCACCAGTGTCTGGAAGAAGTAACGGCCGGTGGCGCGTGGACCGCGCGAGGCTCACCGGGCGCCGGCCGCTTGGAATGGCAGTAATTCTCACCCCGCTGCACGAACGCACTCCCGCCTTGGGCCAGATAACGGGAACGTGGCAAGCGCCTGCTAGAATCCATGCCCACGTTGGTCATGAATTGCGCCGCGTCCGTCAAAGCCTTCGTCTCGAACAGCGAGTCGATGAACGCGGCGCAGAGGGGCAGCGCGCCGACGCTGCAACCCTCGGGCCCCATCCACGCACCTTTGAAGGAGCTCCAACCGCAAGTGTAGCAAGCCCCGCTGATGTGGGGGTCGGGCACGAAGGCTTGCCCCATCCGGAGGTAGCACTGTTTCAGTTGATCCCCCGCTATCTTCACATCGGCGCGAAGGGCAACAGGCAGTCCTTGAGCAACAAACTGAACTGGCGCACGGTTGGGATCAAGGCCCAACCGCTGCGGCTCAACCGCGAGCGCAAAGGAAGCGCTGACACAATCCCTCACATGGGTGGCCCAGCATGGCTTCCCGACTCGCCGGTCGCGCAAAGAGCAGACGATGACGTCCCGTTGGTTTAAAGGCCCGGGTGGTTTATCATACGGGCCGCCGCGCATGGCTGAGGGTTGCGCCCGGATCCGCAATAGGACGCGCGACGCCAGCAGCTTTCGCCGCAGCTCGCGCTACAGTGATAACCTGATACGGCTAAGACCGAGGGGGGAAGGAGAAGGAGGATGGGGGAGGAGGAGAGGGGAAATGCGACCCCCCCAAAGCCCAGAGAAGGAGAGGAAGTGGGAGCTGGAGGCACCCCCGCCAAAACGCTGTAGAAACCGAAAACGTCCTAGCCCGAAATGCCCCGCCATATGTTGCTTCCCACAAACCCCGCCCTCCCCCCGCCACTCCTCCCTCCATCCCTCCTTCCCAACTCCAATCCCCTTCCCCCATCCCTATTCCCTCCACCCCTCCATCCCCTCTTTTCTCAAACGCCCCTGCCCGAATCGAATCCAACCCTCCCTCCCTCCATCTCTCCTTCCCGCCCTCCCCCCTTTCCAGTTTTTCTTTCTGGATGGGCCTGGGCACTGGGCCTGGGAGAGGAGGAGACAGGAAATTCGAAATTCCCCAATCCGAAAGAGGGAGGGGAGGGGAACAAGGGAGGGGAATGGGGGACGGATGTGAGAGTGTGGGCAGGAGGGGAAGAGGGAGGGAGGACGAGCTCCCCAGGAATGGTGGTCAGCTGGAACGCCGAGAAGGGGCTCACGGGGGCCGCGGCCCTGTGCGCGCAGAACCATGGGCGTCGGGGCCAGTGAGGGAGGGAGGGAGGAGAGGGAGGGAGGGAGGATCGGAACGGAGGAGGGAGGAGGAGGAGGAGGGAGAGGAGGAGGAGGAGGAGGAGGCGGAGGCGGAGGAGGACTAGGAGGAAGAGGAAGGGGAGGCGGAGGAGACTAGGAGGAAGAGGGGGAGGGAGGACTAGGAGAACCATGGGCGTCGGGGCCAGTGAGGGAGGGAGGGAGGAAAGAGGGAGGGAGGGAGGGAGGATCGGAACGGAGGAGGGAGGAGGAGGAAGAGGGAGGAGGAGGAGGAGGAGGAGGAGGAGGAGGAGGCGGAGGCGGAGGAGGACTAGGAGGAAGAGGAAGTGGAGGACTAGGAGGAAGAGGAGAGATAATTTCGAAGGATTACCCATTGGACAACCACGACAACGCCGGGCCGATAAACCGATCAACCGATAAACTGAAACATCCGATCTACCGATGAACCGATAAACTGATAAAGCCAAGCTGTGCTGAGATTCGGGCACGCATGCGATGAGTCGGTGATTATATCGGTTTATCGGTCGATCTGCCGATAAACCGATCAATCGAAATAGTTTATCGGTTGATCGGTTTATCGGTTTATCGGTTTTATGTTCGTGACCTGCGGCTGCAATCTATATTTATATATAGATATATATATATATATATATATATATACGTAGCACTCTCGGAACGTCTGCGAGCAAATTTGGGCCGGGAGGCGCCGAGTGAGCGGTCTGAAACGCCTGGAGGCCGTCCGGGGACGACGCGTGGCCCTCCGTGGATCGTCTGGACGGCTGTCTGAGCGCCCTCGGCGTCGTCGTCGTCGTCGTCTCCTCCCTCCCCCCTCCTCCCTCCTCACTCCTCCCTCCTCCTTCCTTCTCCCTCCCTCCTCCCTCCTCCCTCCTCCCTCCCCCCTCCTCCCTCCTCTCTCTTCCCTCCTCCCTCCTTCCTCCTCGGGGCTCCCGAAGTGTGCGCGGGAAGCCCAGGTCCACCCATCTGCGGTTGGTGTTCGGGTCCGGGAGCCCCCGGACCCACCCACACTTTATATGTACACGTTTGTTCGGGGTCCGATGAGGAAATCATCAGAGCAAGCCTATCGTTTAATCCATGTCCTCTCAGATGTCCGGAAGAGGGCCCCAGGTCTTGCAGAAGGCCACAGGAAAGTCCCAGGATGGCACCCAATGCTCCTCCGCCGAAAGATGACAGGAAGGAGAGTCCCAAAATGGCACCCACGAGAGCCCAAAGAACGCATCAAGAGGCGCCCAGATTCATCTAAATTCACGAGCGTGGACCTCCTTGTTTCGCACATGAGACTCCCTCTCGCCTCGACAACTTGCCTGGTGGGCTGGTGGGGGCACGGGCTTCCTGTTGCGACGGAGCATCTTTTCTAGAATCATCAAATGCAGCTTCGCGGCAACTACCGCTCCATAGATAATTTGCACAAACTAGAAGCATGATCCATGCCGCGGACATCTTCGTCCTCATCCTCGCCCTACAGGACCGTCATCTCCTGAACAACACTGGAGAAGCGGAGTATAAACGGGAACAATCACATACCCAAGCAAACGCATCCATAAAACAGCATGGGGAGTTTGGCAATCACGAACCAATGTAACGTGATTGGTGCCTCCGGGGAGCTGCCAAGAGGGGGGTGTCCAAGAGGGGGGGGTGCAAGTCATGACCGGCGGCATGTGCGCGGCCCAGCGGGGGGGCCAGGGACGTAATGAAATAAGAAGAGGCGCCATGAAATCTGGGGAAACATCATGGCCCCCGCCATGATATCCACCCCCCCTAGTCATCACCCCCCTCTGAGCCGCCCCCGAGCCTCCCAAGTCTACCCATCCACCGTGGTCCTCCGGGACAGCCAGCTGCCGAGCAGAGCGCAGACTGCTGCGCCCACGACGACACGCCCGCCTGCGGGAGCTCCCGGGGCACCGCCGCGCGTGCCGGTGCCGCGCAGGGGGCCGCGCCTCCAGCACTCCTCCCTGCGACCACCTCTGCGGGCCGAGTGCCGCCGAGGATGCCATCGGACACGAAGAGCACCGCTCGGAGACACGGGCGATCTCCGAACTGAACTGTGCCGAATGTGTCTTGAGATCGATCCTCTACCGCATCCGCTTTGAGCACGTCCCTCGGCGCCCCGAGCTCCACCGCCTGTGACGTACACTGTGCTGTCGTATCCCGACTCTCCGCCGACCCCCGCTTGCCAGGAGTGGACAGGCGCGCGAGACATTTGGCAGTCCCCTCCTCTCTCTCTCCCCCGAGGGTCCAAGCTTTAGCTCAAGGTAGGGCCCCCGCCCCCTGCGGGGGAGATCCCCCGTACGACTCCCCAGCGCACCTCCAGGGCCCCCGGAGCTTCGAAATCCACCACCCGCGGCCTCCAGGATGCCCCGGATGACTTCCGAGGTGGCGCAAGGGGATCCCAACAGAAGGCCTCTAGAGGCAACACGCACCGCGGACTTCCAATGTCGTTGAACACCCGTCGGTCGGAAGAAGTGGGTAGAAACACGAGGTGGGGAAGCGTTAGAGGCAGATCGGGCATCCGCCCGCCGCCCGAAAAGGAAGAAAGAAGGACAACCATTCGATCCTTGACGTAGGAAGGCGCCTGAAGTAGATTGGGATCTGGGAATCGTTTTTTATTCGGCGTTTCCGACAATGGGGCGGAACGGGGGGGGAAAGGGGAGGTCGGGCTCCAGACCTCTGCTCAGCGCGACTGTTCGCATCAGTGCGTCCGTCCTCTGGGGGAGACTCCACCTGCTTGCAACAGACGCCCCAAACAGCCAAGATCTACTCCATGGGGGGTGTGGGGGGGTGCTAAGGCCCGCGCCGATCGGCAAAACAACGAATAAGAAAACGATCGCCTGGGAATCCAGAAATACCTTCTTCCCACGACCGACGTGTACAGTCAACCCGGATAGTAAGGATGCGTGATCAGGATGCAAGGGCCTTGGGCGCTCATATCGAAGCGTTTCGAGCGGGGCGCGCGGCCAACGAAGGTGTCCAAGGATGGACCCAGGAGGCAAGGATGCACTGGGACCCTTGGGAGGGATGCCTATCCTTACTCTGCGGGTCGACTGTACTTTTGGTGCTCTCGCATTCCAGGGGCTCTGCGAGCTTTCGGCTGTCCGCGGGCCCCCCCCCGGCCGGCCCACCGCGGCGCGAGCAGCCCCCGAAAAGGCCCAGAGACAGCCCAGGAAACCCACAGCCGCAACAAACGCCCCAAAAAGACCTCTTAGCGGGGTCCACGAAAAGGCCCCACAGAGGGAACTCGCAGACCCCCCACCGTATGCGCACAAACACATCTACACATACACATGTACACGGGCACGCATGTACACGGGCACGCATGCTTATATATATATATATATGTATCACTTGTTCTCTGTCTCTCTCTCTCTCTCTCTCTCTCTCTATATATATATATATATATATATATATCCAACCAGCCTCCTCGTCCCTTCTCTGTTGACGTCTCATCCCTTACCAGAATCTTGTGTGCAAGGGGGGGCTGCCAGCGCAGGACCCCCCGACCCCGAGGAACCCCGCGCCCCGAAGGGGCGGCAGCGCGAACGCGAGTCCGAACCCCCGGAATGAACCCCAGGAGCGGCAGCGCGAACACGAGACCGAACCCCTGAGGAGAGGGCGGCAGCGTGAACGCGAGTCCGAACCCTTCGGAGAGAGCGGCAGCGCGAACACGAGACCGAACCCTCCCCACGGGAGCCTCCTCCCCTTCCGAGTTTGGCAGGGAAGGGAAGGGAGGAGCTGAAACGGCTGCGGGGGAGGCGGCAACGGGATGGACGCATCAGCGGGAAACGCCAGGGGAGATACATCGCATGAGAAACCCAATGATATCTATCTCCAGCCTGCCTCCTCGTTCCTTCAGTTTTGACGTCTCATCCCTTACCAGAGTCTTGTGCGCAAGGAGGGGCTGCCAGCGCAAGACCCCCCGACCCCGAGGGGCCCCGCACCCTGAAGGGGCGGCAGCGCGAACGCGAGTCCGAACCCCCGGAATGAACCCCAGGAGCGGCAGCGCGAACACAAGACCGAACCCCTGAGGAGAGGGCGGCAGCGTGAACGCGAGTGCAAACCCTTGAGAGGGAACGGCAGCGCGAACACTAGACTGAACCCTCCCCAAGGGAGCCTCCCCCTTCCATGCACTCCACTCAGGTTTACCGTCTTTGCCCTGTGGAGGGAGAGTCGGGAAAATGCTGACAGCGAAGCTGTGAATCACGACGGTGCTACCTACTTGGGCCTTTTTGTTTTTTTGTTTGTTTCTCTCTCTCTCTCTCTCTATCTCTCTCTCTCTCTCTCTCTCCCTCTCCTTTCAAGCCACGTCATGATCGAGGGCCGCCGCCAGGCGGCGAAAGCAATCCAGCTCCACCGGGCCGAACGAGTTCTGCAGCACGTGCTACAGACCGTCCGAGATGTAGAGTTCCACCTCTGTAGTGTCCTGCCAACTGCCCATGATGAGCGCGCGGCGCACGTTGTTGTAGCGCTGGTAGTGCAAAGTCGCGCCACCGCGCCGCAACGAGAACGGCGCGCACTGGTGGCGCTCGAGCTCGAGGCTGGAGAAGAGCTTCTGAAGACCCGCCTGACGTTCTCCACCGAGGATATCAGGAACGCGCGCCCTGCGGCAACCTGACGAAAAGGTGCCGCACGCCTCTGGCCAAGCGCGGGTCGTGGAGCGCCACCGGTACTCACAATGAAGACGAACTCCCGACCTCGCCATTGGCAGCGCAAACGCGATGCTGAGCCCAACATTGGTGGACTGAAACCGTCATCGCGTAGGCTCAGCAGTTCCATCGCGCGAGGTCAGTCTGCGCGGCCCACCACCAAGAGCCGTGCCGCGACACTGCGAGACCACGAGCGCGACGCACTCGTCCACGCGAACAACACATATTCTGGCATCGGCGTGGCACGCTGAGAAGTCTTCGTTGTCTGCCAGACTTTGAGGCGATGCCAAGAACCATGCAGAATACGTTCGCTCCGCAGGACGAGCTGCGCACCTGAAAGGGTAGAACCTGCGTCGCCCGCTGGTCCACCAGCGGCCCACAACGACTCAATCCGTTCACTATGTGGAGAGTCACGTTGCTCAAAGCCAGTCTCCACTGGCGCATCATGAGACTCCACCCAATGCGTAACAGCCAGAACCATTCTGCAACACCGTCGCACGGTACGAGGCTGCACCAGGGTATGTGATAACTTCCCAAATTCCATGCGAGTCTGCACACGGGCCACCACATCCAGCACGTGCGGAATGCACCTCCGACGCGGCATGGTCGGCCGCGGGGACGCCGCCTCCCGTGGAGGAGTCGTCGGCAGGATCCACGGCGGTCTCGGTGCACCCGTAGATTGGCCGCGCTGAAGCTGCCAGGAGCATGGCCGGCATCCCCTGACAGCAGCATTGAGCCCAAGGGAGGACGAGCCCCCTCTTGATATCACACCAGAGCCCATTTGCGAAACCATGAGACGGGCAGACCTCGCACACAGATGAGGGCACACACGAAGCCTTCAACGTAGAGCAGCCAAGCGTACCAGGAACCTCCAGTGCTGTGACGCGGCCCTTCCATCTCCAGCGCCAGGCCAGAACTGTCTTCCCTGCCCAGCTGGCATGTCTCCGAGGCCACGCGCCGAGGCGCATCACCTCCAGCGAATGCAGTCGAACGCCTGGGCCTCGAACTTCAGCGCGCCTGACCAACTCTTCGGCCACCTGCACACGCATGTCCTGCTGGGCTTCGCGTCCACGACGAACCTGGTGGCGAACCAGCACATCCTCGCCATAGTCGGCCGCCTCCTCACCGCGCCCTCGGATGCGTCGAAGCTGCTAGCCTGCTGCCACAGCAGCACAACGTTCGGGACGTCGTCAAGGTACTTCTGGCAGTGCGCCCAACGCCCTAATTTCCAAGTCACCACTGCACGCTGTAAGCAGTCGCCTGGCAAGGCGCAACGGATCACCTCCAGCTCGCGGGTCTTGCAGAACTGGGTTGCCATGGCCGTCACTGTGCGACCATGGGGGAGATCCATCAGCATCTCCGGCGCGAAGGAATCCGCAGGCCCCACGCCGCCGGCACTCCGGCGCAAACACTGAGCAGCTCGGAGCTGGCACGGGGCAACGCAGTGCACGCGAGTGCGCCGCCGCGCCAACTCTCCCCGCGAGAAATGACGCAGACCCTTGGGCCTGGAACCAGCGCACGCCCTCGGGATGCAGCGGGCGAAGGTCGGCAGCCTCTGCTTCTCGCAGCCTGTACCACACCAGTGGCGACCTTCGCGAAGCCACCGCTTGAAGTCGCCAACCTCCTGCAACTCGTGAACGACGCCCTTCCGCGGAGTCAACGGGCCCCAGTCGCACTAGCACAACCTCTCTCGCCGAATGGGCGAGATGTCGGCCGCCTCAGTGACCGCTGGCTGCCGCCCCAGCGCCTGCGACATGTCTTGCCTGTACTTGGCCTCCAAAGAACACATATTCTCGATCGGGCCGGGCAGCTGCAACTCCTCAAGAGATACCTGACGGACCAAGGCCTGCGCCCGCAAGATCGCGACGAAGAGGCCAGACCGCCTGCCTCGCCGCCCGCGCCTGTCCACGCGGAGGCGGGTCAGGTCTGCGCGTGGGCACCCCGCGCTGAGGATGACCCAACGCGCGAGTGAAGCACGATCTCGGATCGCCCTCGCGTCCTTCTCCACCAGCAGCTGCGCGTTGCCGAGCTCCATCACATCAGGCCAAGAGCACTGCGCCAGACGGCTCGCCTCCGCATCAGTCTCGAATGCGGCACGCACCGAAACGCTCAAGCCCAACATGTCCAGAGCACGCCTGATCCCACCTATGCCGACGCACAGCGAGAACAACATGCCCTCATCGTGCCGTCTGCCACAGCGCTTAGCCCGAGCTGCTCGCGCGGCCGCGCCCCCATGAACAAGGGGTCGCACAGCTCTGTGCGCGGCCCCCTCCTGACCAGTGGCATCCGACACCGCCGCCATGTGGCTGAAGGGGGTCCGCGCGTCACGCCTCATGAGTGGGGAGAGGCCCAGCGTGGTTGCAGACTCCCTGATGGCAAAGCTGGGCAGCGACGCTCATTTCTCCAACGCACCACGGCCCGCCACAAATGATCGAGGGCGGACTTCGCCTTCCAGCGGAACGCACCAGCTCGCGCCCAGCGGCCTGCCAGCCCCAGCAGCCACCTCTGCGTCGC